TATAAGGACTTATTCATTATTTTGGGTGATTTATGATGCTTAAAGTACATTCTGATTTGGTTTATATTATATACGTCCTTGTCTCTCCTTTCAGTCTGCCAACTGTTATTGCCTTTCGAGCAGAAGTGACAAAGCAAGCCTCGTTAAATGTGTTCCAACAACTGAAGAAGAAGGAAGAGGTCAAGCCATGGGTATCCCACGAGGCCACCTACAAACCAGGAGATAAACTAGAATATCCTGAGCCTCTATCCAAAACCTTGAAGAAGCAGAAAAAGAAAAAGACCAGCAGTGCTGAGAAGCGGCGTCAGGGAAGATACAAAACCCTGCCCGTCACTGGAGAAGAGCTCAGTGCTATACCAGAGTACGACGTACTGACTAAGACCACGCCTGCTGTGACTGTACCTGAGCTACAGCTTAGTGTATTTAAAGGACCGTCCACGGTGTCTGCTGTTCTTCCCACAAGACCTTTGAGACAAGGCACCACTCCAGTTAAACAACAAGAATCTGGTATCTTCTCTTCACCCGAGTTGGATTCATCGAGACTTGATACCTCGGAATCTCTCCAAGGTGACATCAGTGACAGCGATGTGGATAGGTTAGTGGCTCTGAATGCGAGAGAACTGGAAAATTTACAAGATCTTGCTTTGGATTACGATTTACCCGATGACGATTCAGCTCGCATGAGCGTTTCTGTTAAAACTACAATATTCAACAAGCTCACCAAAGAACAGATTGAAGCAGCAGCCAAGGAGCCAAGACACAAGGACATTGCACCGCCAGCTCGATTTGCCGAGAAAAAAAGGGTTCGACCCAAGACGCAGCCTGTCACAGAGGAGGAAGTCAAAGTGGCGGCCAGGATGAGACAACCAGAAGTAGTGAACAAAAAGAAAGAAGAGACTACGTCAGATTCAGATGAGGATGCCTCGAGGTAGGCTTCTTTTTCTGAGGGCAGAATGAAGATTTCTTACCCCCTAAATGTTTTGCAGTTTCTATTTGGATCTTAGTTCACCCAAGTATTGATCTGGATTGATTTGTTAAATATTGTGATGCATAAAAATATTTGTAAGTAAAAACCTTACAAAAGTATAACCTTTTGAGATATACCCCCTGTATGCTCGAAATTTGATGCTCTCGAAGCATTTTAAATCTCACATCTGACTTCATTGAAATGATAGGAACATTCAAAGATTCTCAGCTATTGTGAATATAGTTCCTGTTTAGATGTTTTTACTGTTCCAAAATACCTTTTCACAGTGAAGAAAACTTCTTTAAAAATTATTCTTGAAGATTTGTTTATATTCTTTTTAATAAAATAATTCAGTAACTGAACATGAAAGATAAAGATTTATTTAGCAAGTAAATTATACAGGTATACATGTTTGTATAATGAGAATCGCAAACCATGTGAGCATCCACATAATATATCACAATTGTAAGCCAATATCCAACAAAAAAGAAATAACATGCTATCTATTTGGAGCTAATGTTGTAATCAGGGCACAATGTCACTGCTTGTATATTTTCCATCAGGTTGAGTCTGGCAGAGAAGATGAAACTTTTCTCACAGAAGATTGAAGAAAAGAAGGAACCAAAGAGCAAGAAACCATTGCGTCCTGATGCGCCAGTCACCAGGCGGCGAATGAGAAGATTGGGTTCAAGGTTTAAGACACAAGTGAGATACGTAGAAATGGTTAAAAGATGTATTAGTTATATCAGGGGCGGATCCAGAGTTATTTTCTGACAGTCTTCCAATTTATCTTTATTGATCCATCCTCCATTTTTGACCGTCTTCCGACAGAAAAAAAAAGATGCCCGTCAATGTAAACTTGAAAATCTGACCGTCTTCCGGAAGACCCAGAAGACGCCCTAAATTCGCCCCTGTATATATTATAAATAGTGGTTTATGCTGACCTGGTTAGACACATCTTGTAACTAGGACATTCCAAAAAAAAACTTCATTATATGAGTCATGTCAGTGGTGCACATATTTTGTGTAATATTTGCATAATCATGACATGCCCCATTATTGTCTATAATACTATAGTACACTCCAATATGAGAAGTAATAAGCAGTTATCAAAAAGTGATAAAAACAATAATGCAGGTATTACACATATAGTATGTATATCACTGATGCAACTCGTAGAATAGCTTTATTTTTGTGATATGACTCAAATATTACCATGATATTTGAGGGGTAATGATTGAAATGGGTTAAGGAGTAAAATGGGTTTAGTTAAGTTAATGAAAATGTACTTTTAGTGAACACCTGTTTCAGGTTAAGGTATTGTTACTTTTCATGGGTGTCAACATATAGACACTAATGTAGAGTACTAAATGCCAAAGTTTAAGCCTTAGCTACCAGAGCCAAATTTTGACATTTTGCTCTTCCACTCTTCTATCAAGTTGTTGGTGACATACTATCTTGATACATCTATATGCGCCAAGATCATTCTGCTAAAAGGTTTTGTAATGTGATTTCATTATGTATTCAAGATAAAAGTAGTGCTGTCTTTAGTTGGTATGAGCAAGTTCTCACTAGATTTTCTCTAAACTACCATATCTCTGACCATGGTTTTGAATTTAGCTTAGCCAAAGAGGTACTCCTCCAAGGTGTAGCTTAAATTGAAATATTTCAACATCGATCAATCTCTTAATTCATGAAAGGTTAAACCTGAGAGTGGAGTAAGTTATAGACCTACCACCCATGATGAGTGAATCTTAGGTTTCTGTTTTGATTGAATTTATTTTGTGAAGTGGTTTTCAATCGGCAAGAATCTGTGTTTTTGTAGACGGGTATATCATTAGAGTGTTATGTCATTAGCCTTGAAGCCATGTTAAATTGTAAGAGGGGTGGAGGGCCTTGGCATAAATGAGATTCAAAAATAATTGATGAGATTGATATAATCTTCTGTATTGATAATCACTGTGAGATGAGATTTTGATTGATTTCATATTGGGTAGGTTTGAATCCAAGGTATACCCTGTGTTTTTGTAGCAGGGTGTATCATTGGAGCTCAGTCGCATGCCCAGCAGCCATGTTTACTTGGTCTTTGTAATGTAAGAGATGAGATACTTTATAATGGACTCCGTTTCCCTTTCGTGACAAGTGTAAGAGGACGCTGAAATTTTCTCAAACGGTGAGGAAACATAAAAGGCCATTAAAGTAATTCAGAGCTGCGTTAATGCTACTCCAGTGGAAGGAGATTGGGCAGTTACTTATTCATCCAAAGGATGGTCCTCTGTCACAGTGAATGGCATATTGCACTGGCCATCACCAGCTTGAACAGTTTTGAGCCAGTCTTGAATTAGTTCTTAACCAGTTCTTGCAATCAACATCAGTATTGATTGCAATTATTTTCCAAATCAAGAAAAGCAACAGTTACTATTGACTCCTGTGATTGAAACACCACACCACTAGTACTTGACTTGAAGGCACTAAAGCAGGTTTTAACTGGTTTTCAATCAAGCCAGAATTCTGCCTGGTGTTAAACTGGCCAAAAGGAAGTGGAGATAGACCCGAGGTGTCACCTTCTTACCCTCCTAGGACGGATGGCTACCCAACAGGAAAATTTCTAGTTTGGTTGATGATCTGACCCCTGATGGCTGAGGGATAGGAAGTTCACTGAAAAGGTGCAACTTACACCTCAACTGTTTTTAAGCGGCAAGGTTATTACCAGGGTTTGGAGATAATTTGGCAGAGGTACAAATATGTAGCTGTACCAGTGCCTGGAGGTCAGGGGTCGTGTGGATGGGGGGCTATCACTGGGGGGAGGGTATCTATGTGACTGTCACATATTCAACATTGAGATATGTGTTGATTTATGAACACAGAATTTGTTGAGTTTGCACAACAGGTAGACAGTGGCAGAGGTAAATGGAAAGCAAGAGCTCTGAAGCACTTTCATTTATATTTCAGCTCTGGTTCAGTTTACATGTGTACCCCCTCTGATACCCTCTGATGTGACTATATATACACATATTCACATATATATATGTAGTTTCTGTTCTCTTCCAGCCTGTTACTTCAGAGGAGGTAGAGAAAGCCAGCACTTCTAGGATATCACCCTTGGCCATTACCTTCATCAAGCCTCCAGATCCAGAAATTCTGGCTGGTAAGTGGAATAGAGAGTATACCATATGCCCCCCCTCCCCCGTCCCCAGCTACAGGGGGGGGGGGGGGAGGTGGAGGAGAGTAGATCTTTGTTGCTTTACTCTATCTTGGTAGGTAAATACATAATATGAATTTGTTTGTATACGGGTATAAATATTTTCACAGTGATTACCTCTTTTCATATCATTTATTTGAAATGACAAATAAGCAGGCTTTAGATATATGATTTAAGAGACCTTGCAATTATTGTCTTAATATAAAGTAGAATTGTTTTTTAGGCTGCTAATATTCATATAGTCTATGTCTGAACTTGCATGGGATAATTGATACATAGGTTATGCTTAGTGTGTGGTTATTATTTCAGCAAGATGGCAAAAGATAATTCTTAGCCATAAAAAATTCCATGACCTTTTGTCACCTGTCATGTCCTCACAGGTGAAGGTACTTAAAATGAAATGGTGAGCCAAGAAAATGATGGCAAAATGATTTCATGTTAATTGAGACAATGCAAGATTTAATGTTGGGATTAATGAAGGAAATGTATGATTTATTACTAGTAATTTATGAAAAATGTTACACAAGGATATTCCCCATTATACATGTACACGTGCGCACACTATTGCCCTTAAAAAAAAAAAACCCACAGGACTTGAGTTCTGGCTGATGCAGCTTTGCAAATAACAGCCCTCATTTCTCCAAAATACAGAAATTTTCCGTTAATTACTAAGATTCCACAGCCCAGAGAGGAAGTCTGACATGTAGACCTGCCAGTGTAAGTACAGTTCCAGTTGTTATAATATCCTTTTACCATCTGGATATCCATTCATCACTATTATTTGACCCAAGTTTTGGTATAATAGGAGGAAGGAGCTGCTTCCTTTACAAATTAGGCACTTATTTCTTTTTCCTCCAAAACTTACTTTGTATCAGAAATATTACATTTTGGGTTTCGTACGTCTTTGTATGTTGTATTTGTATGGGAAACAGCAGGGTGGTTGTTCAGTATTTTTCAAAAGCATACTCCATGTAAAAGGGCTGCTAGTTATCTCATACATTTACCAGCCAATCTGTCAAAGTGAATGGCCATGGTGGAAGGAGTTTTTCCCCTTGGCTGTTCAGGGCAGTGTAGTGTTCTCTCAATCTTCAGCAAACATTCTTTTTGATGTGGTCCGTGGCAGCCAGCTAGGTGTACTTCTTTGGTTACCTCTGAAGCAAATTGGCCAAAATGTTCTTTGTTTTTAAGGAAAATTATGTTTTTATAGTAGTTTTTTTCCGAGATTGATGAGCTTTATCAGGAGTTTTAAATAAAAGATAATTGGTGGTTTGTGATAACAGAAGGGGATAACTTATTTCAGCTTCAGCAGATCATTTCCCACAATAAAAAGTTCAGTTGATTCAACAAGAAATAATCATCCAGTTAACTAATTCTGTGTGTATGAAACCTCAGTAAATGTAAAGTAAATGTTAAATCAAGCATGCTTATCTAAAAAAAACCTGCCTTTAATCATAAAGTTCAGGTTCCATAGGAGCATTTCATTAGTAATGTCCAAGAAACCAGCAGTAACATAACATTAACAAAGTAATAAACCAACCTTTAAGAATCAGATCCAATACAAAAAAGACAAGGATCTAAAACTGCTGAGACAAAATTTTAGTATAGACCCTTTTCATATTGCGTGGTACAGTTTTCTGTATGACACCAGTGTGAAAGATGAACAACGTAATAGTATTGTTATTACAGAAGAGGGTCACCACATAACAGAGTGATGTGTTCAACACAACCAGTTAACCAGATAGATAACAATTAGAATATAGGGCCTTGTGAAAGTGTGTAGCCACCTTTCCCCAATTGATCATATATAAGGATTGATAGTACAGAAAACTTGTGCTGCTGGACGTGAAAAGGATCTTAATTGACAAAGTTAACACGGATATTTTGTACTGGTCCCAGACCTCGCGGCTGACATTTCATCACACTGTTGTACATGGGGTGGGTTTTTTATTTGTCCTAATTAGTATGCCCTAAGACACCTGTTATAACAGTGACAGGAGATGGTGTGCCAGGACAGTAAACTGGGGGCCGAGGGCATAGTGTCTGGTCAACATGATCAAAGCCTACAATGTTGAGACCTGTAGTCCTATCTTGTTAGTAATTACCAGCTAGGGGCAGAAAAAAACAACATTGCACTCATTTGACCTCGATGCACATGTACCTAAGAGTGAAAATTTTCCAGCAAGACTAATAAAGTTAGTAAGCTGGAGCTTGAAGGGATTATTTATTAACAGCAAGTGAACTGAGAACAAGTTTTGCAGCTGGCGTGTTCTAAATAAATAGAATGCCTATCACTTACACGTATTGAACTGATAGTAAATTCAAGGTGTATGGTTTTACTTCATTGTAAATAATAGGAAAACATTTTATCTGTAAATTCCAATAAATGATAAGATAGTGTGAGTAACGCCAGAAAAAAACACGGATGACGTGAATCACCTTCCACTCTGTGTGTACATTGTGTTAGAATAGTTACCATCTGAACCATAATTCCTTCCACTGTGAATACCATTTGTTGTTCAATTTAAAACTACATCTGCCATGAAATTCGGAGCTTTGCAACATTTACCACAACTCACTCAGTCATAGGGGGTCACTATGGTTCATGGTCCTTCCATTTCTGGGTGATTGAAAATGGAAGATAATGAATAGATTATGCGTTTGGAGCGCACTAATGCCATCCCCGAGAGCTTACGTGAACAAAAGCTTTTCTTTTGACAAGATAGGCGTAGCCTAATGCAGCAGGAAACTTGTAGTAATGGTTGAATGACAACAAAAGTTTTGTCCGACTCTGGTTCCTCAGCCATGAAATTCAAGGTGTGTTCAGTCAAGGACACTTGAGATGGAAAAAGCAATAGGCATCAACAGAGAATCAAACCTCAGGTTTATTTGCCTGGATGTCTCTAATAAGAAAGAATTCATTCAGTTTTAAGTTTGAAGAAGTCCTGTTTTTCAATTTGTATAGGTAATGTTAAGGTCATTATCTTTTGTTGGGTGAGAGATATATCAAAATATAGAGCAAGATATGATATAACATCTCCAATTAATAATTTTAAACAACTTACGATTCTGCCATACATTGTTAATTAAAATTACAATTTATCTGAGTCATTATAAGGACCTTCTCAGCCTGTTTATTTGTCACTGTGTGCAGTTTTTTTTTTTTTTTTTTTTTTTTTTGTTAGCAATGATAGCAATGATTTTAAAAAGAATATTTGTAGGGAATAACTTAAGCCTGCAAAGACTTTGTACATGTACATTATATGTTATTGGCTCATATGTTGGCTTGTATGGAAATATGTTAATCAGAATGATGCATGAAAATGGAAACATCGTATCACTGTCCGTCAGATCTATTAATTAATTAATATTGACATGTAAGTTGCAGTGATTTAATATTACTGTCATTATAATGTATAAATGTGTAAACTTTTTTTCTCCTTTGTCTTCAGGTCTTCCATTGAGTGCCCAGAGAGATATTATGGTCCAACACGCTGGAGCAGTTCTCTCTGCCCCCAACTCACAGCCCAACTCTCAGCCTAACTCCCAGCCTAACTCCCAGCCTAGTTCCCAGCCTAATTCCCAGCCTGGTTCACAGCCTGGATCAAGAAGAAGCTCCATGTCAGATAACAAAGCCAAAGGTATTCTTTTTCTGCTGCTTACATGTATGTAAGTGTATGTATACTACTAAAAAAGAGGCATGTGAAAAAATTTGACATTTTTATCTTCCACTTTATCTTTTGGGATATTATAATCACAGGATTTCCTGCAGTTGTAATAAAATAAATCCTAATTAAATTCAAAATGATAAATGATTTGCTTCTGAGTTATCTCATCACAACTCAAGAAAACTATATTATAGTATATAAAAGTGTCAGAATGTTACTGAGATGATGAATTTATTTTAAGTTTATGATAGTGCAGTGCTTTAAGCAAAATCCTTTCAAACTTTTTGATTTGATTTGTGATGTTGCTTATTGTTCTGACTTATTTTCATCTTAAAATATATGCTGTCAAGAAAGGGAAATATTGGAGGTGTGAACATCTCTTGGGGTCAAAACTTACTCATATAGTTTGTTCAGGCAAGTTCTGAAATTGCCCAAAATATGTTAAAATACTAAGTTGAAACTGATCTGAACAGGTATGTTGATTAACTTAAGTCATGGTAGAGATTCTGCATGCTGTAGTGCAATCAACATTTATACCTGATATGAACTATTTGTAAATTGACTGCACGTAATTGAATGAAAACATGTTGATCTTCAAGTCTGAATAGAGTATGGTTGGAAGTTTATTTGCTGTATAGAAAGATTAGGCCAAAGTTAAGTTACTCAAGTTGAGAGTTAATTCCTTTGAGTACTAGTATGGTGACTTACATATGGAAACTGAAACAGCACTGTATTTACTCTTATTATATTGATTAATAAACAGGGCCTGACAATGTGGGAAGGGGTACTTGTAGAAGAATTGTAAGTACCCTTACGTTATACATGGAATTGGACAAATTCAGTGCCATTTCAGGACTGGTCAAAACTGCCGACCCCTGTGAAAGACTTATATTAATTGATTAATGAGCACCTGTTGTGATAGCATAGGGGGCAACCTGTTAATACCCTGGCCCTTACTGCAAAGGAATGCCATTTGCTTTAAGCAGATCATAATGGCACTTGTGCCTCAGCTTGCTTACATAACACGTCAAACATAGTAATTTCTTAAGAAGGGGTTTTGTATGGAGTAAACTAGGTCACGCTGGCTCAGTGGAGGACAGGTGAGAGACAGGTTGATACATGTGGCTCATGCTGTTAAACATGTTTATCAAGGTAAAGGACGATTTGGTCCAATTCCTTCATGATGAATTATAATGAAATTTCATGTTTGCCTCTCTTAGTAAAATCTGTATCAGTTTTATAACCGTGATTTATTTACACTGCATATGAACATGGGACCGTGTAGCATTGTATGGGATACTCAGCCCTGAGTGTAACAGTATAGTATCCTAGTTTACAGTTCAATACATCAATGGTAATCTAACCCAGGTCTTTAGTAATACAAACCAGCTTTCAGTCTAGAGATTGAACTAGTGGCTGCTCTTCCATAGTGTGTGTAGGCTGGCCTAGAAATGATCCCAGTGAATACATGGGTTTATAGGCTCCAGTTTGCCTGCCACAGGAAAGAAGCTGGAAATGGCAGCTAGTGGCCTGGGTGGAGTAATGAAGTAGCTAAAGGATACTGATGTGGCTCACTCCTAGGTCAGGAACATAGTTATTATACAGTGGTTGCTGACTGGAGCCCTGGTGGCTCTACTTGTGAGTAATGTGTGGTTTGCTTAAGAATTTCAGCTGATGCTATGTGTCATGTTATTACACAGCAGTTAATGTTGTGGGCATATTGTTGCTGTTGGTGAATTATAACACTGGAGAGTGGAGGAAGGGGTTTCAAAGACACTTAGGAAGTTATATATGTGTTACAGTGGACCAGGGCTATGACTGAGAGTAATTTACGGTTGCTGTGAAAATGTCACTAGACCAGTTAGCTTTTGGCTCATTGTAGGTACATTTCCCTTATTTGCTAGCAGAAGCTGCATTCAGACAAATTTTAAGATAAAACAGGTTGAGGTTCATGTGGTGTCACCAGAAGAAAAACTGATATCACCATTGTAAGTGTTTGAAGAGCAAGGTAAAAAGGCCTTGCATGGAAAGAGGCATCAAGAAAAAAAAAAAAAAAAAAAAAAAAAATATATATATATATATATATATATATATATATATATATATATATATATATATATATATATATATTTTTTTTTTTTTTATATATATATATATAAAAAAAAAAAATATATATATATATATACATACACACTCACACACACACACACACACACACACACACACATTGGACTAGAAGGAAAACATGTTGTTTATTACATGATAACATACTTTTTTTTTCACAACCTCCAGGTGTTTTAGGATCCAGAGAGTCATCCATGTCTGAAGAATCGACCAAAGAAGACCCCAGACAAATTCTGAAACAACTTGAAAAAGAAATAACAGCTGTGAGAGATGTTAAAGGGAAGAGTATCCTTAAGGAGTCTTCCAAGGGTGAAACAACCACCCTGGAGACTGGGAGGGGCATCCTTAAAAGTGCTGCACCAACAGCNTTGGGTGTCTGACAGTTATAATAGTCACTGCAATGATATTAACATTGATTAAGGAGAGAGATGAAGAGACATCAGGTAAGTTTTCTGTTTTAACTACATCAAAAATCAGGTGTGGGAAGGCTTAATCTTCAGGTTTCTTTGTATATAGACTGGAAATTTTACTAACTTGTTTCATCAGACATCTTGATTGATTAAACTGCTATTTAGATGTTTGAATCACAGCAGGGTGGTTTTGTCATACCATTCTCTGTACAGTAGAGGTTCTAGTACCTAGCCTTTATAAGTCAAAAATCCTTAGCTTATCAGTCCTTTGTTTGATGACACTGAAAGTCTTCCAGGTTTCTTGAAAACCGGACACATTTGACTGTTGTATTTTGCTCCCCCCCCCCCCCAGCCCTGACCCTTCAGTATAGAACTGTGCATTTCCTGATTTTTTTCACTTTCATGATTGTATTACACACTAATGCCATATTATCAATTTCCTTTTTAACATTGTTTTTAACCATTTCAAAGACTTGCTGATTACATTTGGTGCCTGTGTATCACTGGCTTTATGGATCCTTTAGCACTTTGTGAGGGGGGGGGGAGGCAGTCAGTGAGAATTGAAAAATGAAAGAAAACATCAGATTACTTGCCATTAAGATGTCATTGACTTAGATAATTATTGAACTAATGGACATAGAAATTAATTGTTCATTGTTTAAACCAAAAAAATCTGCTATCTCCATCAACTTGATATCACAATGGCTTTCTCATCACAAAATGAGATCATTCTGTCAGGAGCCTACAGTAAGTGGTTCTATTGACTTTTTGTTCTAATGATTCACTGTGGCTTAGAGAAATACAGCAGCTGCTGCAGACTACCAAGGTAAAAAGTATATGGTCTCTATAAACAAGGTTGTCTGATGAAGATTGTCAGAGGATTTCTGTACATCTTCATTTGAGAGAGAAAGAGAGAGAGAGAGGTCTGATTTCTAACTTAACCCCAGTCAATGTTGTATAGCATGTAAGTTTGTAGAGGAGACATTTTATTTTGTATGTGGTCTCTTTCTTTATGTGTAAAGACTATTACAGATCGAGACTTGCATAGTATGATAAGAAAAACACCAGCCTTCAGTGATAATTAATTCACATGAGTGGTTGGACCTGGTTACTGTCTCAGGAGCTGGTCTCTATACATGTAGGTGTTGAATTCCAAATAGAGATTATCAATAAATATCTACATGTGGAGACACACACACTCTGGATGCTGTGCGCTATAGGCTCACATGAACAGTTTTATAACTGTTTGATAACATCGAGGCCATTTCCAAGAATACATGGAAGGCGTTACTTGTAAAACCACAGTGAGTTGCAAAATTTCTCAAATATAGGAATATATAGTTCTTTCAGTGCAATATTGTATGCGTGTCAGTAGTCTCATTACATTGTGTCTGGAGGTATGTATAAGGAAGCCATCAACCCTGTTCTGTGAGTCATACACAGATAGACTGTTAGTTATATATCTTCTGGCCATACCAAGGTTAACAACATAGCAGTTCTATAAAATGCATTGATCTTTTATTTATCAGGTTGTAAATAATACAGTGATGCCTGAAAACAGGAAGTTTTGGAATGGAAAATGTGCAGTATGTTAACTCTGCCAGGATAATTAGATTTGTATTATGTATATATATTTTTATATTTGTTCAGTGTATTTTTCTTGGTAAATGTTGAATTTTGTAGATATTCGGTTGAATTAAGCTAGATAATTATGTTTTTAGCATCTTCTTTATATTCACAGGTATAATACTTTGGGAGCATCATCACCTACGCCAGAGAAATCTCCCAAGAATCAGAGAAAGATAAAAAGCTACACACAGGAGCGGCACAAAACCCAACCCATCACGGACGCTGAAAAGGAAGAAGCTGAGAAAGAGGAGGAGGGTCTAAAAGTCGGCTCCTCTATTAAAGAAAGGTCAGAGAAGTAGCTACTTTTTTAAATGTACAGACAGTTTTGTATGTATGCTCAAGTAACCATTCATACAAGTCTCTATTTTGACCCATTCTAAATTAAAGTATAATACTTGAATTGTTCTAAAGCATCCACATAGTAGTCATGGCATCAATTTTTATGGGCAAGCTCTATGGGTACATTCCCAGTGAAACTATTGTTCTATATAGATTGATCTAGCTTATGGAAATTAATAGTCACCTTCTATATGCTCGAGGAGGCATGTCGTTCAATTAATCTGATTGCATTCAGCGAGATTCCCTGGGGAGTTGGATCAAGCTACATAGAAGAATAGTTTCATTGGGAAGATGCCCTATGTCTCTAGACATATAGCCATTACTTGTCCTGTACCACCACTGGGAACTACATTGTAATCCTTCAGTTTCCTGTATCCTAAAGCAATGTAATTGAGTTAAGTTGTGTTGCATGTTGGGAGGGAAAAATGATGTAGTGCAGTGCTTAGTCGTCACAACTGTGCTTGAAATGTGCCTGTTGCCTTAAGAGAAAATAGCAGAAATAAAGAAACAAGGTTAGGATCAACTTGACAAAGCACTGCAGTTCACCAGTTAAAGAATCAATGGTTAAATCTGTGAAATTCTTTGCTTAATTGCATTTGGAAATCTGTCTTGACTCACTTGGGCATGTTTGCCTCCAAGATAGCTGGCAAGTGTTGTTAGTTTACATGTGGGGTTTAGGTGTGTTTAGACTAGGACTTCTTTAGACAGAAAATTGGTCTAGCTTATACCAAGATTACTAGTTTGCCCTGCATTGACACTGCACTCTTGCCAAATGCCAATCAAATTTGAACTGGGCTTGGGAAATTTAGTGAAATTATTCAGTCACTGGTCACTATTTCTACTTAAGACTAATGAATTCTTAGATCTGCTGTCCCAAATGACCAGTTGCCTAAAACTTCGGAGAGTTGCATTGTTATTTTTCTCCTTTCTTTTAAACTCAGTGAAAGGAATTTAGTTTTTTGTGTTTCAAGTTTGAAATTGCTTTTGAATTATCTACTTTTTGAATGTTTTTTTTTAAATCTGTTATTGAATTTATATATTTGCATATGGTAAGGCACAAACATGGAATGCAGATAGTATCTACATTTCTTGCATAATTTATGTTAATGAGGGCAAATTTTCAAGGCAGTTGCTTTAATATTGTATTTGTTGCATGTATGTCGAGTTATATTTCAGCTGTTGGCTCTTTACTCTAGCATTTACAAAGATAGAAGCTTGCATATAGGAATACCACACTTAACAGTTGCACCATTCTGTGGTGTCAGTGACATGGCATTTACTTCTTGTTGTCAATTTAATTTAAGCAAAGTTATTAAAATATTTTGTGCTAAAAGTATAGAATAGAGAAAGTTTTTTTAGATATATCTAAAAGTCCATCTGGGTATTGCTTTATGTCCTCTCCCTCCCATCATGTAGAGCGTGGTGCTTGCATATTAGTCTATTTTAATATCCATCCACTTCTGTCTGCCTGTTTTGTTGCTTTCAGATCTTGAAGACATGGAATAAGAAAGATTTTTCTTGTAAAATTGGACCTGGCAGTCCAAGAATAAATTCAGTTTTCAGAATTATGATCCATTTCTTGTTTCATGGTACAAAGGTCTCAATCATGTCAATATTTCCCTTCTTTGTTTGTATTTGTAAAGATCTCGTTTTCTCAATTTCAGACTTGCCTTCCTGAAGAAGAGTGGCGATGAGGCATGGAAGAAGAGGATAGGGAAAGATGTCGGCGGGGAAGACTCCCCAGTCAAGCTGCGCGACAGACCAGCCCGCCAGGGTCTTGATGTCAAAGAAAACACAGGCAGCATTGCAGACCGCCTCAATCAGATTGCTAAGTCATCTCAGGGATGGAAAGACCGAGTAGAGGAAAAAGATGTTGACCAATTCACAGTGGAAGGAAAAATCAACAAACAAGGTAGTGTGTGTGTCTATGTACATGTAAATTTTTTTTTAATCATAGAAGAAATTGAATTTAATTTCTTTGATTAAAATGGTGTATACACAGTGCAGTTTTATATATGTATCAATGGAGATACATAGCATTGATGTGAGATGTAGTAAAAATTGTATTTTGGTTCTCAAGTAACACTTTTAATTCACCACATTAAAATACATTAGGTGGTTTTGAACAAAAAATACATGACACACAGACAAATACATACTGTAGATATACAGCCATTCCACNGAGCATTTTCTATTATTCTTACATTGACTTAAAAAACCGTTACGGAGGTTAGGGGTTACTGAGCGACATTGATTAAACTATGACGGTGACGTAACTAACCAACAAATTCGACAGAGATCACCATGTATGATAAAAAGAAACATGAATTCAAATTAGTTAGGGACTAAAAACACTAAAACACGGGAAAATATAAACTTTTTCTTGTGGCAAATCAGCTATAATACTGAAGCGACACGTCGAAATCGTGCTTTTTGCGGCATATAGACCCCCGGGGTTCCCGTCAAAGCAAGTGGTACTATATTAATTGTTGTTTTTTAAGTAGAACACATTGGGTCCTGCTAAAAAAGGCTAAAAAAAGCAAAATTGCAGATGCTTTTACTACCGAAAATAAGCTGCGACAGGTATTATTCAGAATTGTACCCTTTTTCGTGGAATGGCTGTATATTGTTTGTCCTTACATACCAAAATTCTGAACAAGTTTTCATTCAGAAAACAAATAAAGGATTCAAAATTTTTGATCACTATAATTAGCTGGTTTTCATGTTTGTAAATAATCATGATGCTGTGCTTCCTAGTTTCATCACAACATCATATTTCATGTTCAAGACATTTAATAGAAATTATATTAGTGTTTTTGTTATATGACATGTGAAATATATGACATTGGAAATATAATTGTAAATGGCAAGACACATGAATATTGCCACATTGTTTCTTGTATTATTATCTTGTGCTATATTCTCTCTGACTGAAATATTGATTTTATTTTTACAAACATGAGAAGTGTAGATCATCTCTTTTCTTTGTATTTTACATCATTTGGTATTTCGACGAGTACTTGCCTATTTATTGAAAAATTTCTGTTGCTAGTCTTTAAGATGTAGACATCAGTATCAGTTTGAAGATGATTTTGTTTCATTTGTCACTTCATTAAGCATGTTGTGTGCACAGAAGCCATCTTTGGACTGGTTTTAAACAGTTAATGGTTCAAAACCTTCCCAGTGAATTCATTAGGAATATTTATCTCTGAAAACAGTTACAAAAAGATCTGCATGAGTAGCAAACTCTGAAATCACTGGAAGATTTAATCAGAAAAAAAATAGAAAGATGTTTTAAACATACATGTTTTAGTCTAAAAACAGTCTGATAGTGGCTGTAGTTTCCACAGGCACTGTGTTATGATAAATATAGAATATATTGCACATAATTTCAACATTCACACTTCTCAGAAAGACATAGAGAAGCACACTATAGTTCAGGCACGCCTTGGGTATTAATAAAGCATGTGGTATATTTCAGCTACTCAGTTGAAAATTTTTAAAAGAATTTTGTTTTAATTTTTCCAGGTTTGATATTGAATACTTCAGTATTTGAATTATTTTAAAGATACACAGGCCCATATTATTTTTATTGATTTGGTTAAGTGCACAGATCAAGAGTTTGCACTGTGTAGAGCTTATATAATTTACTGGGAAAGATGTGCACTAGGCTGTGGTCTGCCTAATGGAATTGAAATGTGTGAAGATGCATGCTTAGACTTATCACATTGGGTCTAAAAGCAATATCAGCCAACAAGCTAAATTTCCAGCCGTAAAGTTGTCAGAGACTTAAGGAATTTGTACTGTGCCATGAACAGTGGAATGACTCGAATATTAGTTTGACTGTTTGATATTGGGTTTTAGACCTAATCACACAAGTTTCAAACCAGTCTGAAATCAGTTTCAGATAATTTTTTGAAAAAGTGAGGCTAGTGCATAAAAAATCATCTTAATTTTCTTTCCTTGATTCAGGTAGACAAACTTATTGAAATTTTGTTCTGCATGATGTTTTACTATTAAGCATGTGTTTACTTCTGCCCAGGATCCAGACTTACTGTTCACGACAGTCCGCTCCTCCAGCGCAAGAAGAGATCATCTCCCAGAAGCTCCTCTTTTAAGTTACCCAGAGGTAGATCCACATACCGTCCTCGTCTCATCCAGTCTCATCTCCACCTCCTCCTCCTCCTCCTCCTCCTCCTCCCTCTGTTCCCTTCCCTAATACCTGTGTTATATTTGTAGAACCTCTTCTTTGGTCTGTTCAGACAAGGACAGTTTAAGACTGAAAATCAGGCATGGGTTACAACTTGCCTATATTGATGAACCAGGGTTTCTCCAGAGACCTGAGTGGCAGTAGGAACTCTGATATCTGGTTCATATAAGATTGTGCAAGTTGGACCAAGTTGCAGTCTTGAATAATCCTTGTCTGAACAGGTGTTTTGTCTTGTGGATATTATATGAAGATTTATGTATGAGATTACTTACTGAAATATAGAAAACAAGGTTCATGTTAATACCTTCAAATATGATTTTTGGCATGCTCTCTAATTTATTGTAGAAACTCACGTAACAGTCAATTGTAGATTATATTTAATGTTGAGGCATGCCTTTTGTGTTGAAAGAATATATATGCTTATAAGTAAAGGAAGAAATTGTTAATGATATTTTTAGAATGTGTTATATGATATGTTAGCAATTTTGATTTCAGGGTAAATACTTTTTATTGACATATGGGCTTTCATCAGCATATTAGTGTGTTAAAAACAATAGTTGAAATATAAATTGGTCTTAAAAATTAATATTTTTTCTGTTGGTGAAATTTTCTCAGCAAACATAAAATAAACACAAATCTCTGCTGAGGTGAAATATGCAGTTTATAACAAACATTTAAGATCATTTACTTCTGCTTTGTAAAAAATATAAAGTGTTTGATCAGTTATAGAAAATATCTATTGGCAAGCACATTAATATGCTAGGGTTTTCCCAGTATGCATTCAATGTGTTCATATATTATTGAAAATGATACCTGGGCTTTTCAGAGAAGCAAGATGACTCCCTTGCCTCTTCCACACCTCGGGCTCCGCCTGCCCCTGGGGCGTTCAAGCTTCCTCCCTTACCCAAGCATACTCCTCGAGGTAATTTACAGGGAAACGGCAGAAAATGTATCATTATTATTATTGGTGTCACTGAAGAAATAGTGAATGATGAACTGCACCTTATACTACCAGGCACAACATGCTTTGCATTTTGTTTTGTTGTTCAGTATTATTGGGTTTTGTAGGTCTTAACATTATTCACAATTTTTTTCCACAAAGTTCCAACATAAATTTCATATTGTGTTATATGAATGCTTCCTAGTTTTACCATATTGCACTTATAACTGACAACAGGGCCATGTGCTTCTACTGTATGTTGTATGTCACCTGCATGATTCTGTATGTTTGTCTCATTTCCCATAAGCTTCTGATGACGCTGAGGATGAGGAAGGTAAGCGTGTGTGATGGTGATGGGGATTTTTTTAGGTGGTGGAGGGGTACTAAGTATGGTGATGGTGGTAACTCTGAGAGTTTTAGAAGAGCTTTTAAAACTACTCAACAAAAGTTGATTGAGATGTGGCCAGGGTTCAGTGCAACTTCTCAAGTAGGCTGAACTACATAAGGGTGTAACAAGCTCCACTTTTCCAGAAAAACCTTCACAAAAGCAGATGACAAATTAGCTTCTCTGAAGTTATTATATTTTGTTTCGATTATTATACTGAAATGAAGTCAATTTTACAAATTCTATTAGTTCTTTTTACTACCCAACCTAAATTTTGTTTTAAATATTGAAAATCAGTCATATAATTAAAAGTTCTAGTTCTTCAATACTGTTTGATTTTCAAATGAAGAAAAAGAACTTTGCTTGAATCGGGTTGCTTTTGTTGACTTTACATAGCTTGTGAATTCTCCCTGAAACCTTTATTCAAATTTTCCTGCTTACAATAATGTACCTTACAAAACATGAAAGTCTTATCTGGCTTTTCAGCTAGTATTTCATAACTAAACTAACTCTTAACTTTAAACTATATTTATAGCATTGTCATTGGACATATGTTTTTGCCATCTGTTGGCAAAATTCATACTCCTGTATTTATCCATAAGCCTTTTCTGTGTTGCTTCTTACCTGTCCCCCTTTTCTCCATTTTTTTGTTGCTCTCCCATATTGCTGTGTAGTGACTGAATTAACCGTGTGAGTCCTTGTTAGGAGCAGGCATAGTTAGATTAAGCACTGTGAAAGAAGAGTCTTCTGCCACTACTTCTGCTAATACTAGAACTGCTACTACTTCTACTAATACTGGAACTGCTACTACCAGGCAGGGTAGATCCTGCAAGGTTCAGTTTGTTGGGTCTTTGCAATGGAGAGAGACAGAAACAGGTGTGAAATTTTTAGTAAAAATTACTGTCAAAATGGGTGATGGACTTTTGTCTATCTTTACTGAATTTTATTTTCATTTAGAAGTTTTAAGTGGTGGAGGGAGTATCACTCAGTCAATTTAAAATCCGTTTTAAGTAACCAAAAGATCTTATAGAATAACATTAATTTGAAAATTTTTATCACAAGTGCTATTAATTTTATTTGAACAATTCTGGACCAGGATGGAATGGTAATATAAACATTTGTATGACACCAAATACATATGTCATAATATATAAGGGTATGTTGATATTAATCTTGACAAATTTGCACATTCTTTGTTACTGTAACAATGCAACAGCATTCCCTTTAAACTATGCTTTATTTGTTACAATATGATTCATCATTTACAGGTAAACTCCAGAAATCATACACAGTAGACGACCCAGAGCATGCCGCGGAGCAGCATAAGACATCAGAGATGGGGGTGGAGGCCAAACAGATCAATAAGGTGCAGGTGCCCCAGGCAGACGACGAAACTTTTGATGCATTTTTCCAAAAACCAGCTCAGACTAAAGAAGATTCTGAGAGTGTGCGGGTGTCTGTGGATGATTTTAATGAGTTATTTATGGATGCTGGAGAAATGTAAGTTACTGTTGGCAAAAAAATGCTTTGTTTTATTTGCATGCAGTGAATATCAGTATATATGAGTAATAAACCAACAAGTTCCTTTAATTTGCAATGTCTTGTATGCAGTATTTATGTATTTGTATTGTGTCTTGGACCTCATGTATTATAAATCCAATGTGGTTTATGTAATATGATAAATCTGTAGACATAAAAAAGTCACTTTCAGATGCTTGTTTTATACACAATTTATGTCATTAAAACTCTGTATGTTTTCAATTCCAAATCTGAATATATTGATCCACAGGACGTACTTGTAATCCTGTAGGCTACCTGCTATCAGTATGAGTTCCCATCAGATCTCTTCAGATATTTTGCCTTAAGATATGTCCCAAAGAGATACATAGTTTTAAAGCATATCAACATTAGAGCGTTCACACAACCTCATGTGGAGCGAAAACCTTGGTTGATATCTAGTTTAGTGTTAATTTAGTTTTGTGTGAACAGTGATGGTAATTGGCCATGACAGGTTGCCTGGAGGCCTATAGTGTTTTAACCTGATCTACAATATTGTCATCATTTTCTAGCTATCAGTAAAAGTTGTAAGGTCTGAATATCTATAGGGAACAGCAATCAAGGTACATATATAAAGACTGGACACTGCTCAACACTGACTTATTTATCTTTATTTCCAGATTACAGACAGCAAAGAAGGCTCGTCCACAGAGGCGCAAGGCAGGATCGAAAAACCCGCTCAAGTCTCTGGCTGCCAGGAAAGACATCCAGTCTGAATATATCGAGATCAGGACAGACGTCGCTGATAGAGAACTGAAGAGGGTAAAGAGACAAGCAAGTATGTTGAATTTCATTTTGAGAATCTTTGTCAATTTCTTTTTCTTTGTCTGTTTTTTTTTTTTTTTATCTGATTTACAAATTTTACCACATTTGTTAATTCTTCATAAGGTTCCTAGGAAGACAATTATGAAAATGTGTAAAATTTTATAAGTACATGTACAAATATTCTCCACTTAAGTACTCATTTCATTTTCTTTAAACTTCCCTCCATTTTACATTCAGCAAGATAAAGATAAGATTATGATCAATATACTGGAGTTTGTTTTACATGAAGGTCTGTATGTTTTAGCCTTATTTCAAGGCCTTCTTCAGGTTAATCTGAGCTGTCACTAGTGTGGGGACATCCTGCCCAGATTGTCACCACTTAACATCAATGGCAGACCAGCTTCAGTTCAAGTGAAAAAGATGTTAATTTTGATAATGCTGAAACGTAGTGACCTCCAATTTCAATGGGAAACTCCAGTATGATATTAAATTATTATAATTCCATCTTAGATAAAACAATTGGATGAATCAACACTTTAAAGTTTGCTATCATTTAACAGTTGCCTCAGAAGCAGGGTTGGCAGAGGCAGCCCTGGCAGGTTTAGCCAGTACAGAAGACTTTGCTAAAATTGCCCTGAAGAAGATGAACCTGTCCCAGGGGGCTGTCACCCCAGGGGGAATGGGCAGAATGGATCCCTATAAATCTGTCATGTTACTACAAGTGAAAGGTAATTAAGAATCTACAGGGTTTATCATATGAAATGAAGTATTTGTTTTCTTGGTATGGATACCAGTTCAGATTAACTTTTGTATAGATGTGAATTGGTGCTATGGAAGTAAATTAATAGAGAAAGAAAGGTATATTAGGCATTTTAAATAAAAAATGGAAGTAGAATGGCCGCAGTTTGAGTGAATTATGTTTGAAGAGTTGGCCAAAACATGATTTTTCTTTGGCAGGAATTCCTGTAGTTTTACACACATTCTTAAAAATCTACAATAAGAGTTGGTTATGAGCAGATGAATCATTTGTCCCCTGCAGGTAGGAGACATGTTCAGACGAGGCTGGTGGAACCTTGTCCGCTGTCAGTGAACAGTGGCGACTCCTTTGTTCTGATAGTGGATGGCTCTGTGGTACACTGGACGGGAGAGTATGCCAACGTCATCGAGAAGGCCAAGGTTAGATTCATTTGCTTTTTCAATCCAAGTAACTCATCAGAAGTAAAAGTAGTAGTAGTGTTTGTGAATGTGAAAATGTATTAACCAACCTGACATCTATGACAGTCTCTTGTATCTTACACAAATAATAATGACATTAATATTAACAATAATAATAGTAATAAATTATTTCTTTTTCTCCATCCCCAGGCTTCAGACATTAGTACTTACATAGTCCAGAAGAAGGACCTGGGATGTAAGAACGCCAGAGATGTGGGGAGTGTGGACGAGAAGAAGCAGCACCTGGGAGCTGGGAAACTGTTCTGGAAGACTCTGGGAGGCCAAGATGAGTACACAAGTGAGTGAGATGCTGGTTAAAAATTCATTGAAGTTTGTATATTGTTGGATACAAGATCTGAATCAAATATTTTTGAAAGAAAAGAATATATTATGTGACTCATAGTCAAGTTGTTCTAAGTTGATATTTAGAGAGAGAAATAATGAGAGAGGGAGAATTAGAGGGTGCGTAAGTTTGTGTGAAATTCAATAATTATTAATGATAAACTTCTTGAAAATTTCAGTGAGTGGTCCCCCAGAAGAAGATGAGATCTATGAGCAGTGTATGGTGCAGACCAACATGATCTACAGGTTTGAGGATGACTCACTGGTGCCTTACACAGAATACTGGGGAAATGTGCCCAAGTACGAGATGCTCAACCCAGATCAGGTAATACTGTACACTGTGTGGTCTTTGGATGAAAAATTGCTTTTAGTGATTGTATGATCTTTAATGATTTTATTAGTTTGAAAAAGAAAGCTGTCATAGGAAGTCATATAGTGGTGTGGAAGGGATGGACAGTTTGTCAGTGGAGATATTTTATGTGTAAAGAGAGTGATTGAATCTTGATGTACATTGTTCTCATTGGTTGTTTCATTTTGGAAATATTTAAAACATAATATTGTAATGAAAATAACATTTAAGAGAAGCAAAACATAAACTGCTTAACATTTAGTGATCAGTCTTAATTTAATGAAGGCACACAATTGTGTTAAACAATATGCTAACAAACTTTAACATCCATTTCCAGATATTTGTGTATGACTTTGGCCCAGAGATGTATGTCTGGCTGGGCAAGAACATGCCATTTGACAAGAGAAAGATTGCCATTAAGCTCGCCAGACAGATTTGGGACCAAGGTTACGATTACTCTGAGTGTGACATCAACCCTTTCTCTCCTCTCAGAAGTAAGTGTGAGAAGTGGATCAAACATTTTAATTTTTCAAGTACCAAGACTCACTCTTTGTTTCCCGGTTTCTGCAATTTGAAGTAAAAATCATAAGATATTTATGATTTGATTTTCTCAACTAAATCAAATCGTTTAAAAGATATATGTTCAATATGAGTAGTATCACTGTTTAATAAGTTACAATGTGCATGTGGATTAGATTCTACCTTTGAAGATAGTAAAACATAACAAAATATGTTAATCGTAAAAACATTCCTCAGGTGAAGAAGATGGAGGGGCTCCAGCCAAAGCTGATAAACGCCCAGACTGGTCACTGTTTGGGAAGATTACTCAGAATATGGAGACCATTTTGTTTAAAGAAAAATTCCTAGACTGGCCTGATCCTGCTAGAATTATCACAGTAAAAGGAGCCGACACAGACAGTAAGACTAAGGTACATGCTGTTATAGTAATGACATTATCAACTGTTGTGATACAGTATTTATTTGATAATTAGCTATGAAAATGGCCATAGAATTGATATTAAAATTTGACCAAATAGGAGTAAAGGATTGTTACACTCAGGAAATGTATTTTAAATGAAGATTAATGCACAACATCTTTTTTTAAAAGTCACAGTCATATGGTGAAATTTAGAAATTAAAGATGAAAAATTTTCAGCTGGGATAAATTAGATAAAATAATTTAGCCTGCAGTGGCAGTGACAGAAATCAGTTTTCAGGTAACTAATGGCAAACACTGGTATAATTTTTTTAACAAATTTTTTACATGTATTTCTTTTTTCCTTTCGCTCCTATAGAATGAGCCAGCTGTAGAATTGAAGGCGTATGACGCGGCGGTGATGGTTCCTCTGGACACCTCTCCTGTCACCCTGTGTCTAGAGGGACAGAATGTAGGGCGTGGCTTAAACTGGTAAGTATGGTTATATCACCTTGAGTCCTTACACTATTGTTTTTTTCTGCTCAAAAAGACTTTATTTTAAGAAAATGTGCTATGGATATCTGGATTGTTTTATACACCTATTGTTACCATTCTATGAAATACCTTGGCTCATATACATAAACATAAAAGGTAACACACAAACAATCTTACAATAGTAATCTGTATTCACATTGAGTAACCTTCCATTAACCAATTTAATGAACTTTTGTCTAAATTAAATTCCATTTAATTTCCCAGGGCTGAGGAATACGAAGGTTTGTGGAGAGAGTACGACATCTTGACTCTTGGCTTGGCCATGTGGCATATTCTGGAGTTTGATCATTACCAGCTGCCAGAAGAGTGTCTGGGACAGTTCCACAACCAGGACACCTACGTGGTGCGATGGCAGTTCTTGGTGGGACAGAAAGGTAAAAGTTGAAATCCTAAAAGATTTCATCTATTTTCTCAGCCACTAAGAATACAGCCCTTCCTTTTAACCTGCAGATGCCAATAACAGCTAGTTGTTGATTGAAGAAAAATGGTTGCTTCATTCTCTCAAGTTGATGCATGTTCTATACTCTGTGTATATCTACAAAGGGACATGTCTTTGTTTGTAAATCTTGAAAATATGTGGAGGTATTGTCAGTAATAAGCTTTCAAAGATGAAACTTAAATTTTACATGTACGGCATGTATTATGATATGTAAGGGTTCCACTCAAAAGAAAGCTTCTGTTTGCCTCTTTCATTCACCACATCAAGTTTCTCTTGACTCGAGCTTGGAACATTGTCAGTTCTTGTTCGATCTGAATTTGCATATAATTTGCATAACAAAGTATCCTTTCACCTGCAGGCATGAAGAACCTGAAGGGAGGTGTATCTAACAGACAATCCATGACAGGACGAGAGAGGTGTGCGTATTTCTTCTGGCAGGGCAAGGGTTCGACAATCAGTGAAAAAGGGGCCTCGGCTCTGATGACAGTGGAGTTGGATGAAGAAAGGGGACCACAGGCAAGGATTTAAATAACTTATTTGTGATGCAATTAATTTTTGGTTATTTTCAATGATAGATTTCAGTACCTTTGATCTTAAACGCTGTAGTTTAAAAGATATATTTGTAAGTAAATATGATGCCTATTAACATATGTAGCATATACTTGAAATAGGCAGACATTTTATTTAAGGGAAAAATAGACATCTATTTTAATTCATTTAAAATTCAGTGGCATTATATTAATTCTGTTTGGTACATTGTTTGTTCAGGTACGGGTGACAGAAGGCAAGGAGCCTCCAGCCTTCCTGAACTTGTTTGAAGGCAGGATGATTACATACATCGGCAAGCGTGAGGAGGAGTCTACCAACACTCAGGGATCATGGCGGCTTTACGCCATCAGAGGAGAGCTGGAAACTGAGACGAATTTGGTCGAGGTTCCAGCTAAAGTAGAATGTTTGCGTAGTCGATCTTCCTTCCTCTTGCTAAACATAAAGACTGGGTATTTGTATGTGTGGCATGGGTGTAAGTGCACTGCCAATACCAGGAAGAATGCCTTAGCAGCTGCTCAGAGACTTAAGAATAAGTAAGTGTGGTATTTTGTGTTGTGCTTGTTTGTTTTTATAGTGTATAAGTGGAGAATGGGAAATTGTTTTAAATCCTAGAACCATTACTTTAATGTTATTATCCTCAAAAAACTCCTGAATATAAAGGGAATCAGGGGCCTTGAAAGTAAAAATTTAAACCATATTATAAACCACAGCAGAGGATATAAGCAATGAATTATCAACACTCAAGTGACAAGACATATTTATAAATGTATAAGGAAATTGATACAATATTGCAATGATAAAAAAAATCATACAAAAAAAAATTCAATTTCTGTGTAGAAACTGTGCTAAAGCAGTCTTTTCAAGGTTTTATGTCATGTTGTATTTTGTGTATATCAGACATTTTCTTTTGTAGCCATTTCTTATGGTCAATGTTTATTTTGTCTCACTGTTCCAGGTGCCCAGTGGAAGTGGGTCTCCATGAGAAGGCCTCCATCGTGATCACAGAGGTAGAGGAGGGCAGTGAGAAGTCCAGCTTCTGGGCAGGCTTGGACTGCAAGGACAGGGACAAATATGACACCTTGCTAAAATGTAAGCAAATATTATCAAATATAGATAAACCAATTAATAAGAGATTAAGTTTATTTTTTGCTGACAGATAAATTGTTTGGTTTTACTGAAAAAGATTAAATATCTTAGTTTATTTCACCTTATTGACTCAGATTTTAGCTTTTTTTACATTCTACTCTATTTTTCTTTTTAACTTCATGCAGAACAGGACCCCATTTGAAGATACAATTGAGCCAAGTAACTAAATGATTTAATGAAAAGATTTGACAAATTTGTGGAAAAAAAAACAAATTAGATAGGCAATGATCTCTAATTTACTATGCCTATGTGAAGCCACATGGCACTCTTACCTGAAGGTATTTATTGTAAATTATCAATACATCATCCAATTTGTCATTCCATTTTTTTTTTCTGTTTTGCACATTCTTAGTATAATGAGTTCAATCTCTTTCTTTTCAAGCTCCAGCCAAGTTTGACTACACCCCCCGTCTGTTCAACATGACCAGTGTGGCAGGAACATTTGAGGTGTCAGAAGTGCTCAATCCCTGCAGACATCCAGATTATGTGTCAGCATTCCCTTTTATACAGACAGATCTCTACAAACACTCTCAGCCAGGTTGGTGTGCATCTCAGTGTCTGTTTGGTATACAGGGATGGATCTAGAGATATTTTCTGACAGTCTTCCATATCATCTTTGTTAATCCATCCTCCATTTTTGACTGTCTTCAGATAAAAAATCAGATGCCTATCAATGTAAACTTGAAAAATTCTTACTGTCTTGGAGAAGACCCAGAAGACAGCCTCCATCCACCCCTGGTACACACTGTAACTGTTGAGTCGGTGCACAAGTTACAAAATGATAGTGATATCAGCTAGTGATTGAGAGAGGAAATTTTAATAGAAATTTAAAAATAACCTTTAATAACCTTTTGTGTGTACCAGAGGAGTCAATACAGTATTATTATTATTATTATCATCATCATCATTATCATCATTGTTGTTGTTGCTGTTTATAATATTGTTGTCATGACGGTGCATTTTATACTATACAGAGGGACAGTTTTACTTTTGCTTCAGTTTTAACATAAACACCATGTATTTTCATCCAACTTGTTTTCCCATTCCAGCATTGTGCCTTATAGACAACAAGACAGAGGTATTTCTGTGGCAGGGCTGGTGGCCAGAGGGGACGGAGGAGGACGAGAACGTCAAGACAGGGTCGGCTCATGCCAGGTTTGATGTAGACAAGAGACTGGCCATGGAAACAACACTGAAGTACTGCAAAGGTAAAAATATTCAGCATGTGTGCAACTTGAACCAGAAAGTCCAACACATTTCAATTCCCATGTTGCGCAATCAACCTACATGATAAAAGAGAAAAAAGGGGAAAGTGTACTGTTCTGGAGTAATTTTTATTAAGAAATTTGCTATAAATCACTTCATTTATACTATTATTCTTTCTTAAGAATGCAATCCCTCTTCCCCTGCCAAAGCCTACTTGGTGTATGCAGGACTGGAACCAAAGCATTTTGTCAATCTCTTTCCCTACTGGGAGTACAGGGAGGATGTCACCAGCCTGAATTTAAAGGTAGGTGGAGACCCTAACAAGATAAGCTTTACTGTTAGTGAAGTAAATATAAGAGGATATGGGAATATATTATGTAAAGAGGTTATTTTTTTATTATATAAATATGTGTGTACTACCGGTAGTATGTATGTCATTCATTATGTTGTAAGTTCTTTATGTCATATTGTTTATTTTTCATTACTGCTTACAAGATCATATTTAGTTTTTCTCTGTCTGTTTCTCTTGAAATACTACCCATGTGACACATTCCGTTGTTGACTTTCAGGAGGGCTTCGTGGATGGTCAGATGGACAATATGGAGGAGTCAATGACGGAACTGTGTCGAAGCCGCTACACCATGGCGGAACTGCAGGAGCGCCCTCTGCCATCAGGAGTAGATCCTCTGAAACTAGAATCTTATTTGTCTGATGAAGAATTTGAGGTACTTATAAGTTAAGAATTTATTCATGTTTGATCTGTTAGCCATTTGTACACATTTTTAGACATGATTAGTTTTCCATTTGTTAGTCTCTAATAACATGTCAAAATGACTTAATAATTTAATATAGATCTTTAGATTATTGAACAGAAGGTTGTTTCTTCTTCTTACTGATTTATCTTGTGATGCTGGTCAATATTATTTTTGGTAATTTTCATTTTATTTTAATTCACAGGAAATTCTCCATATGACAAAAGAAGAATTCTACAGTTTACCAAAGTGGAAACAATCAGATCTCAAAAAGCCAGCCGGATTGTTTTAACTGCTGAACATTTGTGGATAGAGTGCAATACAAATTTTCAAGACAAGAACAATGATATGAAATATTTAACAAAATTTCCTTGTTAAACTGTAAACAGGATAATGTGAAAATAAAGTTTTGCTCAAGACAGATACTTAAAAAAAAACAATGTATTAAATTTCAAAGGTTCTTAAAACTGATGTTGAAATGTAAAGGAAGCCTTGAAAGAAGGTAGAACAGAAACAGTTTCTTCCAACATAACATTAGGTGCTCAAATCCCGTCTTCATTTTTTCTCATACAAAGCCTGAAATATTGAACTTTGCTTGTAAAATCTTAATTGACCTCTTCTTGATGATCTTTGTTTATATCAGTTGTTTTCTTGTTCATTTGTACAGTTAATATATTGTATCATTATTATTTTTTTCCATGACAGTGGTATACTGTATAGTCTCAACTGTGATGGTGGAATGGTGTTGTTGCCATGGTTACCAGTGTTAGTGATATATTTCATAGCAACAAGAAATGTACACGTGAAACTATTAAAGTTTTTGTATATATGTCAGAATGTAAAATATCATGTTGAACGCTGTATATTAATCATTCATATTCTCACCTTTTTTGTCCTCACGTCTCTAAAAAGTTGCTTTTTCTTCTCTGTGTTCCCTGCTCTTATGTATAGCCATTAGTCAAGACAGTTAACGTTAAATACTTGTAATTATATATATATTTATATATATAAGAATTTAAACTTAAAAGGTATTATTTTGTACATAAAATCATCCATACATCATATTATACTTTGGTAGAGGCTAGCTGGTATTTTCCTAACTAATTTCCTATGAAGGACATGATAACAGTCACTTTTGCTCTATAAATTGAATAGCTCTGGTGCAATGGTTTCTCTGTGTCATTCCTCTCTGATACAGAAAATAAATTGTTATACTTTCATGTATAATTTAATCAAAGGGAATTGCTTTGAAGTAACACTCATAAAGCTCCTGTTGTTTAAGAAAAATTGAGCTCATTAGGAGTCTGTTACTTAGGTTTTAAACCAATTGTATGTTTCTATATGCAAAAAACTCTTTGCTAAATAAAATATGCTATGCAGAAGTTCACTGTATTCTCTTATTCCTTGTGAAATATTTATCTTGATCTAGGGTAGTTAAGCCCACTGCCAAAGAATCAAGACTGGATTCGCCTATATATTTTGGAGAACTTGAGGGGGGGTATTGCAATAACGAGTGAATTCTTATCAATACAGGTATGCCCTCAAGAAATCTCATCAACATAAGAGTTGATATGCCATGAATTTATTAACGAAACAGTTTTTTTCTAAATTAATTTTGTCTTACATTGTCTCTATGTGAGTATAATTCACTTCAAAAGTCACTCTCCACTGCGCCAGTACTATGCTTGACAGTTCCTCGAAGTCTGCTAATGTAGGTTATTCTAATTTCTTTTTTTGACCTCGCGTCTTTTTGGCCAAGTTTCATGATGTATAGACAAAAGACTCCCGTGTGGCGCTTTTCGACTATTCAATCAAAGGCGTTCATAGAGACAACTATGACGAGCCATTTCTCGTGCCATTTGAGGGGGGGTAACCAAGGGGGTCAGTTTAAACCAATAAACTAACTCTAACCGAACACAACAACGGGACACGCCACCACAAGCACCGCCGATTCGTTGGGTGTTTTCGTTACCTTGATATTTATCTATAATTATGAAAACTGGAATTCATACTTACTACAAACGCTTTTTCTAGATGTTAAATGCAATTTAAAACAAGTTTCACCATTCTTATTATTAACAATATTCTTCTCAACTTCTTTTCTCTTTTTTCTTTGATATCATTATTTTTGCACACCCTTGGCTCCAGATTAAGAGCAAAATTGTTGATACTATGTTTTTGTTTTTCGATTTCTTATAAAACATGCAGTTGAACTTTTTGTCGATTCAGATAAACAGATAACACCTCTAAGAATATGATCTCTACCTAAGTAGCCGTTGCACAAATTGAACTAGACGTCGATAGTCATTGAATATCCCAGCACTTCGCCACATTTCAACAGTAGCTCCCCCCCCCCCTCCCCGGGACTCTACCTCATGGATATTTATGGCAATGCCTGGGTTTTGATTATTGATAATAAACATCTTAATAACAACATAAGAAATTTGTTTTCAGGCATGGCTATTTTAAGTAATTTTGTTTTAAATTTATTTTTTATGAAAAGGGAATCCTCAACTCCTAGGGTCAGCTCTACCCCTACCCATCCCCACCCTGTTGGTAGGTCTATTTCCGCTGACCGTGAAGGCCTGGGAGGACGATATGAAAATAAGTAGCCTTATTGTACATTTAGTATTTAACCAAATCGCAACGTTTTTCAGACGCCGTAATTAACTATCCCAAAACGTCGGCTTGGTATTGGACTTACGCAGCTAATTCAGAACGTATTGAAAACGTTTTTTTTTTTAATGAAAGCGTTTTTCTAAAGCGAGTTAAAAAAAGCCATAAAAAAGTTTTTCATTCCGGGGGCGTCGAGTTAAGTCCGTTACCAAAAGCACAGGATGACAAAGATAGACTGCGTTAAATCTAAATGATTGTAGTATATATTATTATAGTGACAAGGACGACAAGTTGGAGCTTTCAAACGTTTATTCACCGACTTACTTTTCATACAAATTCACTTGCTTTCTTACATCATCTTTTGCGTGATAACAAGAAATTTTCCGTTCTCATGTTGCAATTTCTAAGAGCCTTGTTTTCAATAAAATATATCTAAAATATTATTTAAATTACTCATACTTCAACCATATGCAAAACTCAGTTGGTATAAGGTATGCACATAACAGAAAGCACAATTCAATTGTGAAATTGGCCAAGCAAATAAAAGTAAATGTGACGTTGGCTTGATACATCTTTTTCTAACTCTGAAACAGTTTCTGCACTTATCGACTTTTAAGGAAATTGAACTTGCTCTCTATTACTCCTTATCGTCTTACTTATTTGATTCCTCTTTTATTATTACTTTCAATTAGTGAAGATGCATATGTGAACTGCCAACCTTACAACATACACCCTTTCTCCCAAAGAATTCGTCCTCTAATTCTTCTAAACCTACACTCCGTTTTCATCTTTTTTAAAGCAAAGCAAAGCAAATGTTAAATAACACCAAATTCACAAATTATTGTTCGTCACATTATCTCGATGACGTAAAAGAAGAGAAACCTGACATAAATCTATGCTGTAGGCATTAATCGATAGTTTGATCTATTCACAAATAATACTTTGTTCCATAACACTTGTAACTACTTCCATTTCTTATAATTTCATAAAATAAGTCATCGTAATTCAAGTATAATATATATGTTAAATCTCACCCATCTTGCATAAGGAAGTCATTACAGCACTAGAAAAAACACCAACATTTAAGCATCGCAGTTAGAATATCTTAACCATAACCAACTCATAACATTCCAGGTATAATATAAAAGCTTGAATAATATATTTACTAATGCTTAATGGTATCTGATGCAGTATTTCTACCATATAATCTTCTGATATCATCAGCTGATGAGCAGAACCAATCAACTGTATGAACTCCAACTGCTCGTCTATAGATTTAAACCTTCCACAAAATAATGACAAAATTGATTCATTTACAAAAACAGATGATAACTTTATCTGAAAATTCAGTTCTCTTTTAAATTCATATATATATATATATACACTAGAGGTTTACGTAAATTCTCAAACAGCTTAAATAACAAGGTGACAATTCTGTCATCAATGAAAAAGTTATGCACAAGTTCGTCAGAATCTCCGAAAATAGAAAATAATACTAATATACCTATTTAATAAATCATAACTTATAAACAAATACTAAACACAAACATTATTATTCATAACACTGAAAAATGAATAAAATAAAGCATTGAAATGATGATGACTATAATTTACATAATCCTCATTCATTTTGTTAAATTGTTAGTAGATAATCTAGATTTTATTTATGTGTGACAAGTTGGGTGTATATTTTGGTGGGATTTTTGGAGCCTTTTTTCGTGGTAAGGCTCAAATGAATAAATAATGAAACAGAACTCACCATCGCCGATTTTTAATAAAATTTCCAAACTGACACTTAATCTGGTTAGAAGAGTACCAAGGAAAGCCCAAGCGTACGGTTTTGGTGCTTTAGCATCGTGAAGGGCAGGTTTGTAGATGGCGCGTCAACAATGATACAGCGGTTACACCTGAAAATGATAGGCTGTATTCCCAGAGCTTTTAGATCGATCTATCCCCGCGGGGAGTCTCACTAGATTACTGTCAGACAATCCGGCTTAAATATCCGTACCGCCTACTACAAGCTGTAAGGGGGAAATTAACTTTCGTGTCCGCTCGGCTGACAGCTATTTAGTGTGAACCCCCAGGGAGTTAGGTCGATCTAAAGTAGATCGATCTAATCTCTGGAAATGGGGTCATACAGTAACACGTGCTGGATACGCCCATTGTACTATCTATTTCTCAAACTCCAACTGCCGTCAAAAATATTCTAAAGGCTCCAAAGGCTCTTAAGGTTGCTAGAGAAATAGAACAAAGAAAAATTTAACTTTAAGCTTTACTTACACAACTGTACTCGATGGATTAATTAGAAAAATATACCATTCAATAAATACATCATGTGATATCCAGGGACATATTACTGCATAAATAAGGATATGCAGTAATTGCACACCGAGAACGTGTTTATTTTCAGTTGGATAAGTACTATGGGATAGCAATTCTTATTTTCAAGTTTACAGGCAAATATTCCTTGATGCTGACTATCTATCAATTAATAGAAAGGGAATTCCGAACACTAAAACACAGTTCAATTTCATGTTCTCGTAATGATCAACAATTTCATTTCAGGATTATACTTCACTACTAAAATCATTCTATCATAACGACAATGCTAAATGCGGACTATACTTACCACCAGTTTCGTTTATCGATCGAAACATCTGGTCGGTCACATAAAACCTGTAGAGTGAGAATTTATAAGACGAACTACTGCCACTTTACTGTGTAAAATATACATCCTATAGTATTATATAAATGAAGAATGAAGAATATTTTATCCCTTTTTTTACTATATATACATTTGCATTGAAGTTTAAATTTTATGGAATTCATAATTTAACGAGAAGATGATGCCTCTTGGTAAAAATAAGTTTTACAGATGTTTGATTTTTTTATCTTAACTAAAAACAAGAAAAAGTGTATCCGATCCATGGGACAAACGAATGTTTGGAAAAATCATTATTAAAAAGAAAAAATCAGTCCAAAAACTTTGATTCCAGGTTGAGGTTCAATTGTTGCCTCACTGCATGCACAACTAAACAAAAATCAACAAATTGTCTAGCATAAGCAAATTATAATTTAAAGATTACAATCTTTTTTATGAAGACCACGATATCAGATTTCTTTGTCGCCATTAGTAGTTAAGGTATGCTTTACTTTTTTTCAGTCAATAAAAAACGATAGTTTGATATTCTTATAAATTTAGAATATTGAAATATTTGATAAATAAAGATGCTTACCCTTTCCAACTTTTGTACCATAGTTTTTAAATGGAAGGATAATACACATACTCTCTTTTAATATATTAGAGACCGTTCACAATTAAATCTGTCGACCTAGCCTCTGCGCACTAACTCTACGGGGATTCTCACTGAATCAGATAGGTACGCTTTTTCTTGGCGTTGAGTAGAATGCAGAGAAACTGGGGGCAAAGTGAGCGTGTTAGGCTGTTAATCTGATTTCATACATCGAGATTCTTCGTGGAGTGAGTGCGCATCAGCTAGGTTCACACATTTCATTGCGAACGGTCCCTTTAATTTACATTTAGAGTTATTAATGGTGATGCGCCTCAAGTCATCTTCTTGCAATGTCCGACGTCAAAGCACTGATACGTATCTACCTCTCCTCCACTGAAGTGTATCTCCCAGAACTTGATTTTGTTTTTGGACACGGTACTAAGCGCAGAATCGGCGGTACACGTATTTAAATGAGCAAAATCAAGTTTAAACGGTTTTCTGGTCCCACAGAATAATTTTTCGTAGCTGGGTGAATCGCTGGGTTTCCAGTTAGAAACATTGGTATCCTGCATCACCGTGTGAAATTCTAAAGTCACATTGACCATATTGTTTTGAAGATTGCAGTCGTCGAGTGAACTTCGGGTCTCTATGTTGTAGTCGTAGAATACTGCAGAATAGCTGGATATGTACCGGAGGTGAAAAACGACGTCACATGTTCTCAAAGTGATGTTCCGAACTGGAGAAACGTTTCCAGACTGTGTTACATGCGATGCTTGGTATTCGGTCGACAAAGAGAGGCTAAACGGAGTGGCGGTGGTTGTGGGGGCGTGTCCCGTTGTGGTGTTCGGTATGAACGAACGTGTTGAATTGAACGGATATTCCAAGCTTGTTTGTATGTTATTGACAGGAGTTACAGGAGTCAGTTCTGTATTTGTCCGTTTGTTAAAAGTGACTTCCGTGGTTCTTCCCGTCCCCTGGTCCGAAGCATTGCTGGTCGTTCTTGTCTCTACGAACGCCGTTGTTTGAGCAGTCGAAGTGTTTGTCGCGTTGTCATGGATACCAAATATGCTGCATGGAAGTCTTATGTCCATACCACCTGGTCCAGCTTCGTAAACAACATTGGCATACGTCAAAATGGCGACTCGTTCTAGCTTGCTAGATTGATTCACTTTCATAAAAGCCGAATGTGAAAAATTAACGTTGGCCCTGGCTACTATTGCTATGTCGGCGTCACCATCAATGGAAGCCAGTCTAAACATAGTCTCGGAATCAATCCAACCTGCTGGATCCGTCCATTTGTCGAACTCGAGGCTGGCATCTTTAAGATTGTTTTTATCGATGTGTATATTAAAAGTTCGAAGAATGTCGTGGACAACAGCGCGCTCATTATTAAACATCGCCAATATGGCCGCAAAATCCATGAGCAATGCTGCAAGGGATACAAAAGTTACTATTATTGTTAACAACAACCGAAAGAAAGCTTGCCAACATCTGCAGGTACACAGTGCTATGCAAAACTTAAACCACGCCGAACCTGCCCTCAGCACAGTTGATGCTATACTTGCGGCCCTTGACATGAAAGCTGCGGTTGCTGTAACTTTTGTCCGTACTAAACATGATCCAGTCGAGAACATTCTTATTGTCAAATATGCCAAAGGAAGGTCTTCTAGGGACTCTTCAACAAGTGTAATTACCAGAGCAATTAATAACTGGTACTGCAGATCATCTTCGTACCGCTTCCCATATTCAACTACTACCTTACAAAAGTATATGGCATGAATGATCTGTACCACATATACTAAAGTTCCAATGACACAAAATGCCAAATAAGTGTCGTGCAAATAAGATGTCAGTCCTAAGTCATCTGTTTCTTGGTAATAGAAGTCGTATCCTTTAACTTCTCCGTATGCGTACCAGTCAGTGGCGACATCAAAAGTTGTTAATGCAAAACTAAAAACAACATAGAGGAAGTATAGAATGGCTCTGAACTTCCTTTTAAACCAAATGTTCTTTATGTTCACGCCCATTATCTCAGCCTTGTGAGCCTTAGGAAAATCCAGTGGTTACAAATAGCGTCGATCAAATTCCGGGAGGCCTAACTTCCCTGACGGTCCGGGAAATTTACTAATAGGCCTACTACTGGTCGAACTGCCCGATACGAAACCTTTTTCGAGAAATAAATTTTCTATGCGTGTGGTTACCAGCCTGACTGTCGAGCTTTTCAATGTTATCTGCACAAAACAATATCTACCTACGCTGTGCACACCAATCGAAGTGGTATCAAATGAGGGCGCGTGCACATCAATTGGTTTGTATAAACATTCTTATCTTTTCGATATTATAAATCAGTCTCTTGCAAAAAATGCACACCCAACACATAAAATATTTGGACTCTACCCACTTTGCAAAAATGTATACCCTTTGAAAATCACTTGAAATTATTTGATAATCACAATGATGATTCCGTTGGGGAAATTTTATGGTTAAATGATGAGAGGCAAACAAAAACAGTACTGCTATATTGAAAAAAAATGAATTATAAATCTGTATAGGCAACCTTAAAACGCTTAGGTTGGTACACTGTACATGTAGGCCTATCTCATTCAGTGAAAAGTGAAACGGCATTCCCAATGTAACGAAACTGAGGTTCCGTGTAACAGTAAGTCCGCCGTCCATTTAGTTATATAACGGTAGGGATTGATCTAAATGGGTCAAAATCTACCCTCTACCAGGGCGAGTGATAGATTTTTTACAGATGTTTACAGATATGTCTCTAGCTAGATAGATGGTCATTTAGGGCTCAACTCAGTTAAGTTGAGCCCTAATGAGCCCATCTATCTAACGGTAAGTCTTACCGGACACTGGGAATGCAAGTCCTAGGTCTAGCTTTTTTAAGAATGGATGTCCTAGGACATACGTTACTAGGATTTAACGCCCTTGGGACAATAGTTACCAAGGAATCCAAGTCCCATTGCAAGGAATGCAAGTCCGGATGAGACCTGTTTTCCTGATTTATACTAGGACTATTTATTATTTTTATAATCGCACACTGAATGAAAAAAATTTAATTATGAAAAATAACACGTAAGAAGTTGTAATAAATTTATTTTCATTTTAGTAGACCTATTCATTTGTCAGATAGATTTTCAAGTTGGAGCCGTTGACGGCACCTTTAAGGGTGCTTCCCCCTTCAATTTGTAGGATGTACGCTCCCGATTTTGATATTCCTTTTACTGCATAAGGCCCTAGACAGGGATCTTCCTGCTTTCCACCTTACGACTATTCGCCAAAGTTCATCATCATGACCAACATCATTACTGCATTGTCTGTCCTTTACTTTCCTCTTATTTACTTTATAAAATAGCCTGCCATGTTCAATCTGAAATAATCATTACAATATTATATATATTCATAAATTTAAATTAATGACAGACCTTTTCTTCTGTAAGTGAAGTTTGACGGAGAAAAGCAATAATAAGTATTTGTCCTCGGACCCATATCCTAGAGATAGTAGTCCCCCGGACCTATAGAGAATAATCTCGTTACGTCACGAGAATAGCGTCCCGCCATATTGGATTACAGGAAGAGTATCACACGCGGCAGTATACGGTCTATAGAAGAAGTATTGACATTGATTTAGTGTTGATTTGGGAGCGAAATGGTGAATTTCTGTGCTTTTATTGGATGTAGTAGTAGGGGAGGCAGGGATAAGAAGTCGTTTTACCGTTTACCGGCTGTAAGGCAATCGGAAGGGGAGAAAACCAGGGAATTGTCCACGAAACGTCGTGCTAAATGGCTGTCACAGATTTCACGAGATATAAGACCTTCCAACTTGCAGTACACACGAGTCTGCTCAGATCACTTTATAAATGGTAAGATACTTTGAACGGTAAAAATGAATATATGGTTGAACTGTAAACATTTCAGACCCGATTTTCATCTCGAAAACGATTATGTACTAAAACTAACAGCAGAATTTTTAGTCATTTCCAAACCCATATATAATTCTTTTCACATTGTTAACACATGTAAAGACCTCTGCTCTTATTACATTTGAGTCAATTTGAAGTTTTCAAGTGAAATACGTTTGAATAGCATAGATGCTATATGTTATTTTTAGTTACTATTTTCTTGTGCCCACAAAGAAAAGTATATATTTATTGGTCAGTGAGTGCAGATTTCGTAGAAACTTTCATTGTGTGAGTGGTAAGTAATTGTTTGTTTGTAAATTGTGCACCTGGAGTTCCATTTTTTATTAATTTTTAAAGCAGCAATTTTTAAACTGAACTTAAATTTTCTAGGTAAGCCTGCTGATTTATATGATGAGACTAATCCTGACTGGGTCCCAACTTTAAAGCTGGGATATAAAAGTAAGGAAAGGGCAACCCTAGCTGGTGAAAGATACCAAAGAGCAGTAGAAAGAAAGGCGACACGACAGAAAGTAGAGGCAGCCTCTGGGTTTCTTGACTTGCAGCTACCACCTGCTGATCATATAGTCCATGATGATGTTACAACAGAAAGAGAAACTGGTACAGCTTCACAGACAGACTTAGAAGGGAGCAGTATTACTGCAATGAAGGCTGATTATCAAAACCTTCTTTCTGAAAAATTGAAGGAAAAGCTCAACTCTGAGAGAAAGTTTGACGCAGACTTTTTTGTTGATAATGATGAAAGGGTGAAATACTATACAGGTTTGCCAGATTTTGGCACACTTTGTCCGGAACCACGCAATTTTAGATATAAACGTAATTTAGACTTGAGCTCGAAATGCGGACACCGTTGGATACTTTAGTTAGGATAACGCTTTAGTATATAGCCTTCCAGATTCGCGGTCGAAATCTTTACGTCTAGACGCTACAGAGGAAATCCACACTGACAAAAATGACCAGTTTCAATCGTTTAATGTGAACTCGTTGCCTGCTCAGGTACATTCTGACTCTCTCTTCAATATTACACACTTTTAGTACATACTCCAGCCAATGGCTTCATGCACTTCTTATCACTGGCTTCTTAATGCGACAGGTACACAAGCCTTACTCAGCCTCTTCAAAATTGACACAATGTATTATGGAGAATAATAAAAGTTATGACTTGAAATTATAGACATCGTCTATGAAATATTAAATGTCTCCGACAT